GTAGTAGTGGTGGCGGGAGGCTTCGCCCACCCACCTGGACGCTTCTGCGCATGTGCAGAAGCATTGCACGAGTGTGTGGGGGAGCACACCTGTAACCCATTCGGCGGGTCACATGCTCGACCTCGTATTCCTCTCGGAGCAGTGGATTTGTGATCTTGGTCTGAGGGGTAATGTCATCATACCCCTGTCGTGGTCAGACCACTGCCTGCTGAGGCTTGACTTCCGGAGGCCAAACCCCCACTGTAGGGAGGAGGAACCGACCAGGTGGTTCCGCCCCAGGTGACTTATGGAGCCGTTAAGGTTCCAGACGGAGCTTGGGGTCATTCCCGATACTTTTGCCCACAGTCCGGTAGAGACTCTGGTTGCTGCTTGGCACTCGGCAGCATCGGAGACCCTCGACCGGATTGCGCCACTACGGCCCCTCCGAGGCGGCGGATCCCGGAGACCTCCTTGGTTTACCGAGGAACTGTGGGCCCTTATGGAAGCTTATAGAATGCTGCTGGGCTTGTGGTGGTGGGGGGGAAACGACCCATTTTTTGCTCATTTCTGCCCTTCCCAGTTCCCAGGAGCTCTCTGAAAGCCTCCATAAGAGTATGCATGGCTATTTTGGTGAAGGGGGCATGGGTTTGGGAGGCAAAAAATGCTGTATTCGATGTATAAGACGCACCCAGATTTTCTGCCTCTTTTTTGAGGAAAAAGGGGGCATCTTATACTCTGAAAAATATGGTAGTAGTATAATACGGTGGCACCTAAACAACTTCAAATTTATTTAGATATCTGTGGCATGTACTAATTTGATTGTGATCCTGATAAGCTTGGCAGAGACTTGAACCTGGGTCCCCTATGTACTTTATTAATTTGTCTCTTCAGCTCAGCATTTTGTAGCCCAAATATGCCCACCCACTTTCTGGAGAGCTTAAATGACCTCTCTGATGAAGGGTTTCACTTTATGAGCAAGAGTTGGCTGCTGATAGTTATTGTTGCATTTTAACTATTTTAATTCCTCAAGGTGCTTTGGCACCCTCCTGATCTGTAACTCCAGGTTTCAGGTATTGCTGATTGAAAGGAAACTATTCTGACAGTTACTATTTTACTATAGGTAATCCTTGACTTACAGCAGTTCATTAGTGACTATTCGAAGTTACAATGGCACTGAAAAAAGTCTTATGACCATTTTTTACACTTATGACCATTGCAGCATCCCAACATGATCAAAATTAAGATGACAACTGACTTATATTTATAACAGTTGCAGTCT